TGTAAAACATGTATCAACGTAACTCGCATAGATAACAGCCACGAAAGCGTAATCATCGGCACGCGGATTCGCCTTTTGTCTGACGATGGCCGCGATCCTGTTTGCAATCAGCGAAGTGTCGCGTTACGGGCTGACGGACCCGTCCGCGCGAAAAATCCGTCAAAGTACTACAAATCCACGTCGCGACGCGCCGATTGACAGTTGTCGAATGCAGAAAGATGCGAGGTGAGAGTAACTGCGCGCTCTGGAACGAGGAGACGCGGCAGTGATATATCGCCTTGCCCTTCGCGATCGTGTCCGTTTCGATAAATTCCGTAAGAGTTGGAAAACCTGACAGTCCTTCAACATCGAAACACGAAAAATCGATTAATGCCTGATTCACTGACAACAGATAACTTACTCGCGGTTAAATTTCCATATATATTATAGACTTCCGACATTAATGTTTGAAAAAGCGAAAGGACGATAAGATTTTTCACACTTTTTTTTCTCCACGATTCTTTTCACCAGTGTGGAATCAACGTTATCCTAACAAAAATTTTATCAAACGTCCGTCTTTAGTTTTCATAATTTTTAACTTTAAATGTCTTTATATTTTCTCAAATTAAATTTTCAAATTAAAATTCAGTTAAACTTAAGTCTGCTTGAAGTTAAATGAAGGATAAGATTTTGTTAGCTATCTGTACGCTTGAAAATGAACTTACAAAATTGTTTCCTGAATTTTTAATCACTTATAAATTAAAAACTTCGACGCATGGAGAATTATTTATCATCAAAGAAATTAGAATAGATAAAACATTGAAAATAATGCGATAGGTGTCCGAATTTATCGTCATGTTGTGTCGACAACAGATATGTTTATGTAAACAACTGAGATAAAATAGTTATAAGGTTTATCTGGGCAAGCCTGAGAGAGATAAGCAGGAAGCGGAAGTTTGTAACCTCGACTCTATTTCCCCTTACACTCTGTTGCGCGATCTTCATATGAATCACAATCATCTTGCATTCACATAATTTACATCTCCGTGCGGATAAACTCGTAAGCGCTCTGCAATTGCTATAATAATTGAACAGCTTTTACTTCATAAGAACTAAGCCCTAATAAAGTTGAAAAATTATTACAAAAGTCTTCCCTAAATAAAGAAATTTATAATATTATATTAGTTTTGTAATGTACTACATTTTTTAACACGCCTACAAAGAAGAAAAATAATAAAAAATGAATGAATAAAAAATGTGTAACAAATAAATAATAAACGAAGACCGACAGGTCACTTTATGCTCATTTGGCATCGTCAAGTGTCATACATAAAATATAGGTCAAAACTAACTTGTGACGTCACGCGAGCGAGCCTGCAGCTTTCGGCCTAAATAATTCGACGTTCGCCGGAAGTCCACGCCAAGGAATGTCGAGGAATCCGAGAGGGATGTCGTGCGCGTGCACACCTTTTATTTCTGCCGGCTGCTCCGGCTTTTTTGTTGCGCGCGAAGAATTTAACGCGACAGGAGCAGCGAGGATCGTGCACGGACTCGGCCATTTCGAGAAGGATGCCTGAGCGAGTCCGCCGAAGCGTTCAGCAGCAGGGTTTAAGACCGCGGAGTTAAGCCCGGAACCGGAGAATGTGGTCTTCCCCGGGCCCGGCGTGTAACTACTTCATGCCAAGAGTATTCGAAATACTCGGCGATGAAGTATGCCACGGTATCAGAGGTCTGCGGCCTGTAACAAAGCAAGCCCTCCAGGCACCGAGTTTACACACGAGCCGAGGCATCCACCGCCACCGCTGCCAGCCGGGTAACGAATGCTAACGCCCGAAAACTTTGTCATCGACGCCGACGACCCGTTATGAGACCGATACGCTACCGCGAAGCCAATCGAGTCGACCCAAAACCGAGGTAAAGTCGCAGCATGTTCTGTTTGTAGCTTGTTCCGTGCACTTCCGCGTACACAATGGCATCATTGTGCATGTGTGTGTGTGTGTGTGTTTGTTACAATTTTAAATTAAAACTTCCAAAATACTGTCTATGCTCTTTTAAAAATATACGAAAGTAAAGATCATATATGACGTTTTACTCTATATTGATCGGTCTATGAAAAAGCAAAAAAATTTTGATATATCATTATGGATTTAAAATATATTCGTTAATTTTTTATGGTCCGAATTTTTGTTCAAAAATAATTTTGTTCATAATACATTACTTCTTATTTTTACTTATATTTTATTCATATTTCAATTTTTATTATAATTATAATAATAATAAATTAATGTAATAATTTAATGTTATAAAAACTTGTACTCAACGTGATTATTTTATCATTATTTTATGACAATGGCTTTACTTTCCAATATTTCAAAAATTTAGATATAGATATAAATATTTATCAAACAAATCATTGCTTAAATTATTTGTTTGCTACAAACAGAAATCATGATAATCATGAAAGAGAATCATGATAATTAAGATAATCAAATAATGAATATTCTTACTGTTTAATAAGCGCATTTAAAAATTCTCACGCGATGCAAAGTGAAAAATTCTCTTACGACGAAAATCCAATCGCAAAATAGTGAAAGTGCTCGTTATCCACGCGTAATTCATACCTACATAGGTAAAGAATTCACTGAGAAAAACGCAATTCATTGCTGAGACGTGTACCGGTTTCGAGACCCTCGCCCCTTTTCTCGCAGCTGAGTGTATCTTTCCTAAAGAGCAGCCAGCATGGCGGAACAATGCTTTTAGCTTTACAGCGCCGTTCGAGTGCGTTCTCTCGACTCCCAGTTATACTATAGGGTTAGTTGTTAACCCGACGCTTAGGAAGTTGAGGTTTCAGACAATAAAATCGGCCGGCGCGATTCTTCTGTTTTAATTCGACGGAACATCATTCGCTATATACTGTTTATTTACAAACATTAATAGCTTTGAATTTACATTTAGAAATTTGCATTCGCTGCCGTCGGCTGTTGTTATCGCACATCAGTATCGAGTTCGAAAAGTGTTTGTGAAAACGTTCTTTGAGAAAACTCTCCGTTATACTTTCAGGTAAGAAAAAGCTATATTTCTTTCGTTCTTGTCGACCCTCCGTTGATAGCGACCAAAGATAAAAATATCTCCATAAAAAAATTCATATATAATATTATTCATACATTTATAAATCATCAATAATAATGTAATAGTCATTTTCTAAGTATACCTATATATTTTAATGTTGCAAATTTTTCGATCAATATAATTATATTATTTGCATTAAAAAATCCAGCATTTTAAGTTTAAGTTTATATTATAACAGATTATTTCACATTATATTCCCTATTATAAAAGTTTTGTATCATAAAAATTATTTATAAATATTTGTTATGAAATTTTTACTAATAATAAATTAATCTTTGATTATATGTATTCTTATATAATTAACATTTATAATTGCTTCATTTTATTAAATTATTTATTCATTATTTTTTAATTGGTAACGGAGAGTCGTTTGATATTCATTTTCAATGCATTTAATATTCATTTTCGAGTAACTAGAAATATGCTGCATGTGAAATGTAAAAAAATTAATTAAGAAGGTCGCAAAGCGCGAATGCAATTTTAACATAAATTGCCATCGAAATCTAGCACAAGATATAAATTTGTAAAAAAAAATTAATGAAACAACCAACATTTAGCCACCAGTTGGCCATCCATAGATGTTTTTTCCTGACTAATATCTTTTCTTTAATTTATTGCATTCATTCTATATTTTTATATTTAATATATTTATAGAATGTAACTATTCAATATCATTTATTACTATACACACCTTTTCACGTGATTTTCACGTGATTTTTACGTGATTTTCACGTGATAAAATCTACGATAAAGAATGTACACGGGGACAGGAATGCCTTCTCACATGAAGTTACACGCGTCTCGTCGACATGTCAGGCATATCGGACATGCGTGCTTCACCTCTTAATATTCGTGCATTATAACTGTAGATAAACTGTAGATTCAAAAAACGGATACGTCAAACTATGTACTGTTAATTACATTTTCCCGCTCTGAGACGGCGTTGCCGTTTTTCGAATATCTACAGTTATAATGCACGAATATTGAGAGGTGAACCATGCGTGGTCCGGTATGTCTGACATATAACTAGCTGCATTTTAATCGATCAATTCGATATTCGATTCAATATCGAATTTTATGCTATGTCATATATCATGAACAAATGTCAATATAAACATGTCATATGTCATATTGATAAACATAAATTATTTTTTAAAAATTTACACTATAATGTCATAGTAAGTTTTTAATAAATAATTTGTAGCTATTGTAATTATGATCACTTGTATTACATATTACGATAAATGCGGTATGTTAAATATAAAATAGCATCATTGATATTTTATCTCTATATTAGAATTGATTGACCTTGACTGATCATTAATGTGCTAAGATGTATGTACATGTTTGCAGCACAAATAAGTTCTATTTCATATAATACTAAAATCGAAAGATTTTTATATTCCAGCGTCTTAAGAGAAACTTTGTGAATATTACATTGTTGCGGAAACATAGTGTTTAATTATGCAAAAAATATATTGCTACTTTAAATTTTAGATGTTTAAATACATTATAAAAATTTATAGCACAGTTAAAAACTTCAGTTGAACATAGCCTGCTTATAAATTAAATTTTGTTCTAGAATATTTGTAACTACAAGAAGCACGCTACTAATAAACATGACTTTCTAGACAGAAACACTTTATCAATCCTATGTCTTTGTATTATCTACGTTCCTGCTGTTATCAAGTCCCCAGAGAAATGTACATTTGATTCGAGTATCGCAGAATGCAAGTTATATTACTGTGCACGATAACGAAGCAAATTACTAGCTCAAAAAAAGTAATTTATATTGATTGTCAGAGTGTGATGGAACAACTTCTGATTGGAGTGGGGGGTAGAGGCTTATACGCGCGCGACCGGACGCATTATATAAAGTGCAATTGACCTCGACGAGCAGTAGGAGATACTTTTTTCGAACGCACGATACATTCAGTCTCGAAGTGCTTCGTGTAATGCAAAGACACTGTTAGTCTGACAACGTTGTGAGTTGATACGAATAAACGGTACGAGATTTCAATGTTGTATTATTAGCATCTTAGCGACAATTTAGTTATTAATTAGACTCATTATATCGTGTATGTATGAAAATTCATAATAAAAAACTACATAATACGTGATAAAATCGACACGAATAAATTATCTCAGCTAGTGTCTCTCAGAAGATCCGTTCATATCCGTTCGTGACGAATATTACAAACACTCAACGACTGGTAAGAGAATAATTACTATTTTCTATGATAGTAATTATTTCCACGCAAAATAATTTTGCAATGGTGCTAAATCTAAAATATGTGGTTTTTGCTATAAAGCATATTATGTGTATCCTAAATATCGATGTTATAATGATAATGCATTTTCTCTCTAATATTTTTAAGATAATAATAATGTAACTTTTTTTATTATATATGCAAGAAGTTTCTACTAAAACATGTACCCAAATTTTGTCGATTCTACGAATCGTATATTAATTAAAAAATTGTCTTTTTCGCTAGTTTTTCCTTTTTATTATTATTCTAAATTCAAACTATAAAATTAATTTTATTCGCAAGAAATAAATCCATTTCCGCCAAACTTGCAAAAATCAATAGAATGTTGATAAATAATTTCTTTTCATACTTCATTGATGTTCATAATGATAAATAAGTTTTTTGCGCACAATAAAAACGACTTGATTAATTAATTCATAAGAATTTGTTATCGAAAGATATGAATTATAAATATTAATATCTTTAACAGCTCAAGTGTGTTTCATAAAGTGAATGGAAATATCCGTCGGACTTTAGTAAGTCGAATGCGTTAAAATTTTTTCTGATTATTTCGCGACGAACATTATTCATCGGAATAAAAGCGCGATGTAATTATCGACTTTGAAAACGTCACATTGTCGACGTACGCCTCGGAGCGAGAATGACGAGCTCTCGCATAATGCGATTACAAAATTTCATCCGACAAGAATCTCCCATTTCGCCAGAATGCACTTCGCATAAGTGCAATGATTTCGTGCTCGAAAAACACTCCTCGCTTTCAGTCGTAATTTTCGAATATCCCGTTGCGTTCGCGTTCTATGAGTAATGAAAAAAAGACAGATCGAAAATGCACCATAATCAAACTTTATGAACATGACTGCTATTCACTGCTGACTCGCGCTCGATTTTTTTTATAATAAAATTTTTTGAGAGTTTGTAGAATTAGATATAACAAAATGCGTAATAAAGTTCCCTGCAATTTTGATGTGTTATGAACTACACGTTTCACGTTAATTAAAATATATTCTTGAAAATAATATTAATGAGAGATAGTTTTGTTCTGAATTATTATAATTATTATACATATATGAAACATACTCATTGACTTTCAATTCCGCAAAACTAATTATTATTAATCTTCTATCTACAAATTAATTATAAGCCGTTGTATAAAAATAAAGCCGAGATGATATCTAAGATGTACAAAATACACTGCCGATTTTAACTGCCGATTGTACATCGTACATTACTACACAAAAAAGATATCTAGACATTACCTATAAAATATTAATTAGTTCTCGATTTCATAATAAATGTTAATATTTTTCTCAATTTCTTATTAATGTCTTAATTGTTTAATAAAATTTAAATCATAATTGTCTCATTAGTCGACTGCATTAGAAATCAATGCAGAAGTCGAAGACGTAAACATACATTATAAAGCCAAAAACTAATTAACATTTTTTGAAGTAGTTGTCTAAATTATTTTTTTGTATCCATAACTACAATGTCTACAACAACTAAATTAAACACTGTATTCTATACATCTTGGACATCAAGCGCCGTCAATATTTTGCATCATTAGCGTTTTCTCAATCATCCGAGCATCCAAAGCGATCCCATCGCTCTTCACCGTTGGTGAAAGATAATTATGCGCAAACATCGGGCAGGTAAACGCAATCGTGCCAAAGTAAAGCGGATTGTTAACGTCGCTGACAGAAAATCGCGTGGACCTCTTCAAACATTTGCGAATCTCTGCGCGAAATCGATCGAGTTGGAACGTGACAATGCAAATCGATGATATTACATTGCCGGCGAGATGATATTTTTCACCGCGAGATTATTATTAATATCCACCGAAAAAAAAATGGCTTGGTAACAAAAGTTTAACGATATTATGCAAAATCTAGTACAGTAGCTCTTAGCTCATGAATGTAAATGGCGTTGCAAAATCAACGATCACATGTGTAGTGTAGTTGTGTAAAATACCAAAAGCTATACTAATATTATTTACTATTATTATTTAATAATATCGATTAAAAAAAGTGCGGTCAAGCGTCCATAGACATTTCGCCTCCATTTCTTAACCTTAAATATTTCAATAAATGATACGTAGAATTGAAGCATAGGATAAATAGAATAAAATCTAAAATCTTGGTATTATCCTCTCAATTGTTTGGATCCAAAATTGTTTGGTTGTAATTTAAATAGATGACTAACTAGAGCATGATTTTTGTACGTTATCTACTCGACTTATCGCACTCGACTCAAGTTCAAGTTTATTCAAACAACAACTTGTATTATCCCGAAAAAAATGATATAATAGACCAGATGTAAATATATATATAATTAGTTATGAAAAGATTTGATAACATGTAATATTTTATATGATCATATAAATTACATATGTTATTAGATCTTTTCATAACTAATTATATATTTACATCTGACCAATTATACCATTTTTCTCGGGATTTTTCTACAATTTTTGCTTTTATTTAACGTTTATAATTAAAATAAAATATTTTAGATTTAGAAATAGCTATTTTTAAAATCCTGGCCATAGCCATTGGCCATCTATTAAGATTGCAATCTTTTGAACCGTTTTTCTTCCAAACGGTTAAAAGGATAATACTGAGACTTCAGATTTTTATATTCCTAAGCTTCAATTCTATGTATCACTTATTAGAACATTCAAAGTACGAAAATTTCAATGGAAAGAGGCGGAACTCGGCCGCACTCTTTGATATTTTATTATATAGCGTTCTACTGCCATTATTATTAGTGAATTAAAAGTCACATATAAAAAAGAACTATTTCCGATGCAACCGCCGTTTCTTCTTCTAAATAATATTCTACAAAATGCTACAAAATGCTACAAAATGATAGATAAAAGCTCACATTACTATTCCTTTTTTAAACTTAACATTTCTCATTCAAAACAGTTTGAATAGTTTTCTAACAAAAAATCGTCGTGCATGATCCTCGCATTAGAAATAATGATTCTAGTTGCGGTTTTCACAACGACGAATTTCCGCGTTGACGAAACCAGACGAGTTGGAAACCAAGCTGCTAAAGCGAGCGTAACTATGCACGCGGAACCGGTGCGAAAGAACCAATTCTGCAAAACGTCACGGTTACGGCGATTATTATAAGAGGGGCCCATTATAATACGTCACTGTGTCAGCGCAAAGTACTGCCGAGTTATCGCCGATTTTCCACACGCCCGAGCGAGCACTTTACCTGTACTTCACTCGCGGTTACGACGATATTTCGCACTCGAGCGATTTCGATGCGGAAAGCGTTTCGCATTTCATCGACGATCAAACAACTCGCGTAAAATCATAAAATGCGCTGCCTTTAATTTGTGATAAATAAAGCTAGCTGTAACTTCTACCTGTAATTAACGCTTTGAAGAATATCATTTTCCAAGCATTATTTTAAATTTAAATAAATATTATTTAAAAAATTATCTATTTTATAAAATTCGCGGAATTCGATAAATACATAAATTATATATTATTGCAATATATGTTTTATATTATAAATATAAATTTTATATTAATGATACATATACGTTTACAATATCTAACTCTTCTAACAAACTGTGATAAGAAATATCAGTTATATGATAATAAAACTAAACAGAAAATAATTTTTGAAATGTAGGTTAGATCCTACTCTTGATTTAATAAACGATATTTCACGATTTTTTAAACACGTATTACATTACATCTTGACTTTTTGCTAAAAAATATTATCTTTTAAAAAAATTATAAATAATTATAAATAATTTATTAATTAGAAAAAAATAAAAACCGGTATAGTACTTTGACTTGATGCGACCTAAGTCCACTTTAGTCATGTAAATTATATTCGCGGATGGTCGACAACACGTTACAAGCGCATCGCGACCAGAATTTTTCACGATACATCTTCACGCTATTTTGCTGGCGAATTTCGTAGACAGAAGGATCTACGGACGGTTTGTTGAAAAAGCGACGAAGAGAAGGCAAATGGTGGGAGGAGAGGGACGGGGGGGGGGGTCACAATCCCGCAGGCGGTCGCGGCGACGTTATTTATTGCTCGGGCCGATGAGTGTCATTTAAAATTTCGATATAAATTAATTTAAGGGGGTAAAGGGGGTTTCTAGGACGGTCGCAGTGGTACGGGGCGTAATGGCTCGGAAAATGAAGTTCTTGTAGCCTCGCCGAGAGAGAATCTCGCCCGCCATTCAACCCTCCCGTCCCCTGCCCCTCCTGTCCTCCGCTCTAGCACCCTTGCGCCTCTTCGCC